AGCCTCTGTCAGGATTAAAATATATCTTTACTTATTTTACTAAAAACCCTGAGAGCCCAGAAAATATAACTGTAAAAAGCCATTACATCTTGCTACAGGATTAGAATTTTTTTGATCCCACGTTGCGTTCTTTTCATCTTGGGAAAATGTGTACAGTGAAAATAGATTAGCTCCAATTTAATCAACAAGTTCTAGGTGTTGTGGGAAATGGACTTACAACAAGTTGGGACAGAGTTATAAAACCAGGGCAGTGCTGCAGCATAGCATTCAAGGTTTAGAACAAGCTAAGATAATGAAAATGAAATCAGATAGTGGGCTTGTAATTATTTCTTATACATTTTACAAGAGAAGATAATCTTGTAGCTTTGAACTTTTCCTAAATTCAGCCTGAAATTGTTTGTTGCATTGATTTCTCTATTTAAATATTCATTTTAACAGATAGTTAGAGGTAGTCAGTGCTTTCCAAGGTGGAGTTCCAGGATATGTTTGCCAGGGAGAAACATGGTTTTGGGAGGTTTTGTTAAATTCCATCAGCTCCTGTATGTGGACAGAATTTTGCAATTTCACAAGAAAAAAAAGGAAAAAGCAGCCATAGATTTTTGTGACCTTCAGGAGTGTTTGGCAAAACTTCCAGGTCTCTGGGAAAAACAAAAACAAAAACAAAACAAACAAACAAAAAAAACCCAAAACAACAGTTATTCCCTCAGGTTTCTTGGATACTTTTTGAGGTTGAGATGAAGACCCTCCAAATTTAGTTTGTACCAAAAATGCCCTTCAGCTGTTGATCCATCTGCTGTGCCAATGACCTTGGATATGTCTTGTCTGCAAACATCTAACTCCAAGTGCAGGTGGAAGATTCTGGGCAAAATGGTCTTAAAAGTGCTCCTGTGAGCAATCATGGGTGTAGCTTCAGAGCTTCCAGGAAAATCAAGGAAGACAGAGAATAGGAATAATGCACAGTGTGAGAGAAGGATCCTCAGTAAGGGAGAAGGGGCTGGGAAAAGATGAGTGAAATTCACTGTGAGATAGTCGGGTGTGTGGGAAATGCTGCAGAAATGCAAAGCTCCCTGAAGAATTATGCTGTGATTCGTTTTACAGGTGGTTTGGCTTTTTGTGGGTTGTTTCAGGGGTTTTGTTTGTTTGTTTGTTTGTTTGGTTTGTTATTTTTTTGTTGTTTTGGTTTTTTAAAATTTTTCATCAACTTTTCTGTGGCTGTGGTTCTGTTATTGTCCTGGTGAGAAATCCTGTTAGAGGTTTGGAAACAGCTTTCCATTTCCACGTAAGTGTAGATTAACTTTGATGCAAGGGGGTGGCATCATGAATCACATTTGCTTTTTATTCTTTTTTTTTTTTTTAATTCCTTGGGAATATTGGAACTCTCTTGGGATCAACTGTACTTTCACCCATGGAATGTGTCTCTACATCATCAATTTAAAATGGATATAACCCAATCATTGCATTGATGTTTGGGATGGAAAGCATTAATTATGTGAGTCTTCTGTCATGGAAACCCCTTGAAAAAAAATTAGGATCTTCACATTAAGTGAGAAATTTGTGTGGATTCATGTGAACATGACTTTAGATAGATGTCCTAAGGAAACTTGAGTAGGTAAGTAAAATTTCTGAATATGTATGATATACCCAGCATAATAATTATCCCCTTACTGAATAAAGCAGAAATCAAACTTCAGAGGGAGGGCAAAGATTGCTCCCTGTATATGCATACATAGAAAAAACAATTTGGAAATGCTTCACTGCTCAGTGCTTACATTTCTGAGGTTGCTGTGCTTCCAGTGTGCAATGTTACCTCAGGGTTTTTAAAAAAACTCACTGAAAAACTCATTCAGAGGGACGTGTTTCTTTTTGTCTCTCAATTTCCTTCAAGAATGGCAGAGGGGCAATAAGATACCATTTGTAGTCTCAGTTTGGCAATCTCTGTTAACCTAAACTAGGGATAATAAGCAGAGTTAGGTAGATGTAATCCTATTATTTATGTTATTTATTAGTGTATATTTATGTAATATTCAAGTGACGGTGCCCAAAGTTTTCAGATCCCGTCTGGGGAAGAAAATCTGTTCAACACATTCTGTGCTTGCATCTTTCTCCTCTGATAAAGGCAGGGAAAGGGTCCCAGGAGCTCACAGAAATTCAGGCTGGTCCTCACCACAGGACAGGCTTGATGAGCTCCATGGGGTATCATAAAATCACAGAATATTAAGGTTGGAAAAGACCTCCAAGGTCACCAAGTCTAATCTCCATGCCAAGGCTCATTGAAGGGATTCTGGGATTCTTTCACCATCTTTCTTGAAGCAGGGTTTGCACTTGTCCAGTGAAGGGACATGCTGCTTTTGATCATATTTTTCTAACATATTTTTCTAACATATTTTTCTAACTAAGTGACAAAACCTTGGGGTGCTGGTATCCTGCCACTCTTCCTCAGGAAGTGTAGGAAAGATGGTGTGTCCAGGAAGGGATCAGAAGTTGCTTCTACTGCTCCACAGGCATGGGGAAATTTATGGCTGTAGACTAAAGCAACTCAAAGAATTCAACATTTTCCTTATTTAAATGGAAAATAAGGAAAAAAACCCCAAAACTAGGAATAGAATGGACAATCCTGCCATGGGTTTTATGGTTGTGAAGGACAGTTATACCAAATATGCTAGGAGATATTTTAAAGAGAAGGAATCATTAGCCTGACTTGCCAGCCAGGACTCAAAAGCTCATAAAATGTGAACCAAATCCCAGGATTCAGACTGGGCTGCATCTCTCCTGTCCTCATCTGTCTCAGTCTGTTTATGTTTTAGTTGGTTAAAAGCAAGGAAGAAGGGAAGGGCGAGAGACTATGCAAATGCAAAATGAGAGTGACTTGTAATGCTGGAAAGTGGAAAAGAAGGGAATCTCTCTGCAAAGGGAATGATGGAAAAGCCATGTGAAGTGATAACTGTGCAGTCTTTGAAGCTCTTAATGGGACTATTTGAGAATTCTGCTTGAAGCTAAATGACCCATTAGCATCCTCTGCTGACCAAACACAGGCTCTGACTTTTTACAAGTGGACAAGGACATCTGAGTGCCTTTGAAAGTCTGCAGTTTGAAGCAGAGGTTTCCTTGTTTGACTTGGAATTAATGAAGGTTAAAATTAGAGGGGAAGCAGAAGCAAGTCTGTTGTTTCATGGGCTGAACTTTCAGGATTCATTGCAGGTACTCCTAAAGAAATTCAAGTGTCAGGTGAGGATCTGCTATGAAGAAACCTCCTTTTGTGTGTGGAAAAAAAAAAAAAAAGAAGAAGAAGTTAGAGAGAATCAGAGACTCATAGAATGTTTTGGTTTGGAAGAGATCCTCAAGATCATCTCATTCCACCCCTTGCCATGGGCAGGGACACCTTCCACTATCCCAGGTTACTCCAAGCCCCATCCAACCTGGCCTTGAACACTTCCAGGGATGGGGCAGCCACAGCTTCTCTGGGCAACCTGTGCCAGGGCCTCGCCAGCATCACAATAATTTCTGTGAGCCTTTGCCCACTCATATTCTCCCCACAGAGTGACCATAAACTGATGAAAAAGCATGAACGAATCTGTGCTCCAAAACAGGGGGTTTGGGAAGTGGAATAATGTCCCCTCACACATTCCTTCCTAACATACCTGACAAGAAGATCCCTCTTCACAAAGGGACACGGAATTATATATTTAAAATGCTTTTTTTTCCCCCTCTTCCAAATCAAAGAAAACCTATCTGAGTGATTGAAAATCTGATGGAAAGCTACAATGATTCACTGATTATCTGCTAGGGAGGCAGGACAGTACAGCATTTTAAAGTGAAAAAAAAATCTGGAAATCTACACTTTGATAAAACCACCAGTTTGATTGGTGGTTGATTCTGGAAGACAGTACAGGTCATGCATCACTGTTCCCTGCTGTAGGCGCTTCTCCAGCTTGTTTGGGCACTGAGAGGGAATGAAGGACAGGATTTGGAGCAGCAATGGAAGAGATGAGTCTCCTGTCCTTTGTGGTGTAAGACACCAAAACGTCCACAGAACAGAACAGCCAGGGAACCATGCAGGGCACTGCAGAGTGACATAAAGCAGTTAGAGAAGGACCCAAGGCAGACTGAGAGACCTGATTGCAGCACTTAGGGAAAGGGAAGGAAGGAAAAGTGGATAAGAGCAGTAATATTAATATCATCTCTCCTGTGAGAGTGTTGCTTCAGTTGTAAGGAAGGTAAAGGATTCTGGAATAAAGCAACTGGTTTGTCATATCAAGATGATGTTATCAAGTCTGGTGGCTGGAGGACTGGTTGATGTGATCTCAAGGAAAATGTCCAAGTTAAGGATTTCACTGAAGTTACTTTTTTGTGTTTGTATTGGATAACAGGACTACTTACACTGTGGGATCATGGAAACACCCTTCTAATCTATCTAAAACAGGAGGAAGGGAAATTGAATTATCTGCAAAGATTTTAAGTAGGAAGAAACAACATCATGTCCACAGATGGGTTGAAGTAGAAACAGACATCAAAATTAAAACTCTGTAGAATCTCTTTTACCATATGTGAAAGTGAATGAGATCAGGGTGGTTAGCACTGGAAGCACATTTGCCTGCCCTGTGAACAGCCCATGTCAGTGCTTGTCTCGATTTCATTGCACAGCAGAGTGGAGAGAGAACTCTTCCTCTTTCAGGGAACAATTTTCTCCTGTCAGCCTGATGCAGCTCCAACACCTCCAGACCAACCCCAAACTGAGGGGCCTTACCCAAGTTCATCCCTCCAAGCAGAGCCTGGAAATTTAGTGTGACAGTGGTTTAAGCAGGAAGGAGGTAGTGTAGGAAAAGGGAATTGTATCCAGGAGGAGGAATCTGGATTATCCAGAAGGATAAGTCAGTCCAAAAAAAAAAGATAAATTCTCTATGTTGCTTCAGCTTGGTCCAAACTATTCTTTCAATGGAAAAATAACATTTCTTTGTGTATTTAATCTCCATTAATTAATTTCTTTGTCTCTCTCCTCTCAGCTACGAGCCAGGAAGATGAAGTGCTGCCTTCTCTCCATTGCTTTGGCTGTTCTGCTGCTCGTTGTCATAATCATCGCAGTCTCCGTCAAGCACTGACCTGGCTGAGGTGTGCACAGGTAAAACCCTTTAGCCAAGTCTTTTATCATACTCTGTAAGGTGCCTGAAAGACACTTTAGGGAGCTCCACGTGGTAAGAAAAAAATATCTTCACCTGCAGAGTCAGGTCTGGCATACTAAAAATATTTATTTTTAAAGGTTATTAGAAATATTCTTAATGGATCCTTAAAATTAAGCCAAGGTGATATTCCAAAAAAACAACATAGGACTCTTTCCTCTGCTATTTGTGTCGTGTTTGATTTTTCATTAAGCTCATAGCAATGCTAACTAATGGATCCTAATTATTGGGATTAGGAGTTAGAGATGCAGAAGCAGTTTAAAAGACTCTGGGCTGGAGCAGGGTCAGGGGCAATCCAACAGCCCAGAAATGTTCCCAAGTGCTTTTATCTTCTGGGATGTTCCAGAGACCCTCCTGAGGAGCAGGAAGATAAACACCTGGAGATTTCAGTAGAGATGAAAAATAAAATGGATTTTTGGTGATCTTTGCTCTGGATCTATACTTAGAAGGAATATTGGTCAAGGATGATTGGGCTGTAACCTTAGGAATATAGGTCAGATATCAAAGCATTAGTGAAGTTTCACCTATAGCATGTTTACTTTGCAAAACAAAAAGTGCTTGAAATGTAAAGTATAAGACACACAAAAAAATATTTTCCTTTCTTTTCCCTCACTGCCCTGGGATGACTCATCAATTATTTGTGATATTCTCCTTCTGATGCAAAGCATCTCTGGGTTTCTCCTTCTTTAGAAAGTTGCCAGGCCAGGAAAGAATATCAGATTTACAGTTTTCTAGCCCCCAAAAAGGGGCTGTGTACCTGCTGCCAGGGCAGGAGTCCCATCTGGTAAAACCAGAACCCAAAAGCAGCAATGGGACTTTTCCTGCAGACAGCAACTCTCCTGTGAAACTATCCTTGAGAAAGCACAAAGGGTTGAGTGTTTTTTTAAATTATTTTGTTTAACAAGGGTTCAGTGTTACTTGAAAATGCTCTCCTTCCATGTGAGGATGAGGCTTCTAAAGTGCCTTCTTTCCACTGGGAGCTAAAAGAGGTTGGTTCAAAACCATCATAGAAAGGTGATTCTTCGCACTTCTTAAGCTTTGGCACTTCTTCTGCCTGTGGTCGTCAAAATTTGATAAAAGAAGGTACAAGAAGAAATTGTACAAATAAAAAAAAAAGAAAAAAAATTGTTGAAAGATGTCAAGAACCATCTCACTGATTAGGATCACAAGCCCTACATCATTGGAAGGAGAAATAGGTTGAAATATTTTGCTACACTTGAATCTTTACTGAAGTGTTTGGCCAGCCCTGAAACAAGGATTTTATTAGTGAAATGGACTCTTAATTGACAGAATATCAATGTTTTTGGAGCATATCTGTCTGTCTATCTATCTATCTATCTATCTATCTATCTATCTATTTCTATATATTTTTTATCCCATTTTTATAGAAGAGACACTGCTTATGGGTGCAAACAGCGATCTGTCCTCATAATTTAAATACATAGCAACTGTAATAATTTTAATTGCATTACTCTGCTTTTACTCTGCATTAATTCAGAAATGTGTTCCATCAGGATAATCTGTAATATAACACAAGTTCTTTTAGTATAGTTAAATATTCCTATCTAGTGGAAATTACAAATCTTATCATCAGTTGACTACGTCTAGACACCTTTTAATCAAAATCCCTTTAGTGGAGAAAGTCAGAGAACAAAATATTCTTACAATAAAACTCCACTGGAAAACTAAAATTAATCTCCTGTTATGAGATCCATGTCTTGAGGGAAGTGAACCTAAAGATACTAATGAAAGCACCAGGAAAAATATCATGCTCTACTCTTCATCATCAATTGTGAAACTAATTATTGAGCTTCTAAAACAAGAGTTACTCTGCAGCAGTAGAACTGGAGGCAGGATCTGCACTGGGTTCTGCTGGAACAACGATGATTTCTGATCTTTATAAATGGGTCTTAATCTGAGTTAGCCCTAGTGTTGTGCAGCAGATTTCATATTTGTGCTTTGAGGGTTTCTAAATAAGGGTGTTTTCAGGGTTTCTGTGTCCATAGTGATAGATTAAATTCTATTCTGAATTTTAATGTAAACAGATTTTTTAAAAATCCATGATCCATGATTTTTAAAATATCAGTGGATATAAAGACTACCTCAAGAAACAGGTTCATATAAAGCTCTCTTACTTTAGGGAGATAGGGAACAGCTGGAGTTTAATGTGGAACAGCTCTGCATGACTTCAGACAAAATAAAGGGAGGAAAGCAAGTGAGGGAATTAATTACGGAATACTCTGGTTTGCACAGGACATATCACTGAATAAAATCCCGGTTAGTAATGACTGGCAATAACTTCCATTTAACATCTCCTCAGAATGTTTGTTCCATGCTGGATTAGTAAAGAGCCAAAACAAAAAGCCCCAGCCACTCCATTCCAGTGGTTTAAATCCCATTTGAAGGATATTAAAGTTAGGTTTCTTTAGCTTTCATGGCTGATGATAAGAAATATGAAGGTCACTATTCAGTGAATTAAAGAAATTATGCCATTAATATCTATGATCAGGATTTATTGTTTTGATCATTAGCATATATTCTTGTGTTGTTTTTTGGGGTTTTTTTTAATTGGTTGATGCTTCTACTTTTTCAATAACAATACCAAAGCAACAGCTCTTCTCAAAAGAAGAATTTTTTCCCCACACCACGAATCAGACACAGCTTGGACAGACAAGCCCATTCCTTCCATAGGGGAGATCACTTGATGGATCTTGCAGAGGAAAAAGCAGCTTTGCCTGTGAGTTTCCCCAGCAGTTGTGCCATCGCTGGTGATAACATTGAAAACACAATCACAGAATTATTATAGGCAGGTGCTTTATTGAAGAGCTCTGGGAATCAGGGGTGCAGACCCAAATCTGACTCTGATATGGATCTGAGATGAACATGTTTTTATACCCTTTTCATTATATAACTATATATTAATTATTAAACCCATATTGTTCTATTGTATACTATATATATATTGATCTTATCCAAGCATGTATTCTTTTAATTTTCATTAGCCCCCTCCCCAAATATTCTTTCTCATGATTCTTGCTGCAATTACATCATTTCTCATGATTCTTATTACGATTAAACAATAATCATATTCAATTACCAAACAATCGTTACATTTAACAATCATATCATTTATCACATGATGATTACGCAGGTGTAGCTTCACATGATCTAGAAAAAACAAAGCTCAATATTTGTTCCCAGGGCCAAGTTCTCTTTCCCAGGCCTACCAGACCCAATCTTCCTTTCCACCCCTCTGAATCTGTTGTTTGCAGTTCCCATGATTTTAGAAGCATTTTAACCCTATGCTATCCCTGGCTGCTGGCTCAGTGCGGGCAGAGGCAGAGCAGCTGCTCAGGAGAGCTCCCAGCCCTGACTTCTGCCTGTCGAGGGCCCTGCCATAAGTGTGTCACTGCTCCCTTGGGGCAGTTCTGTCTGGCAGAGGGAGAGAAAAATCTTCTATAGCGAATGCAGAGAAACTCCTGAGGACTTGTGTCTGTACATTTGTTTGCTGACACCTTAGGAAAATAGCCCAGGAACTTTTGGGTCACGTTGTGCACATCTTAGAGCACCACTGCAGCTGCTCCTTTTGCTGTTCCATCAACATCAGTGGCCACTCAAAAGGACAGTATTGCAGGAGGAGTCTGAAAGAAGCTTTTTTTGTTAACAACAGCTTTGGAGTGTGTCAATATTTCAGCTAGACAGACCTTCTGTGCCCTTCTCTTGACTCATTTGCATGAGTGCACGCTTATCCAAAGTGACAATCAAGACTACTGGAATCCTAAGTTTTAAGCTTTCTTTATAGAAAAATAGAGGTGACAAACTTTAAGAAAAATGCTGCGTGTCTGTGACAGCTGGAAAATACAGTTTCCAACAACAGCTTCAACATCTCAATCCCATTAGCCAAAGAAAGAGAGAATGAATGATGAGAGACTGAATGAGAGAGAGTGAATGATGACTTGACTGAGCCCAGTTCTTGGAAGAAGTCCTTGCAGCACAGGATCCCTTCACCATTAACAATACACATTTCTGTCAGACACAAGTTACTGGACTGAGCACACAGACTTTGCCATGTAGATTTCTTAAATCCTGTGGGATTTGACTCAACAGATTCTCCAAGCATTCAGCAGCTCAAAGCTCAAAGCCTTCCTGATACAGTAGACAAGTTATTAAATCTTTAACAGACATTGATTCATTCCTTTTTTGATAATTTGACCATTTGGATTTTGAACCATCATGAAATTCTAAAATATTGACTATCCCGAGCAAGGGGTTGCACTCTGATCACAATCTCCATGTAATCTTGAATGTACAGACATAAAATCCTTAGAATCATAGAACAGTCTGTGTTTAGATGGCACCTTAAAGATCATCCACTTCCAATTCCCCTGCCATGAGCAGGGACACCTTCCACTATCCCAGGTTGCTCCAAGCCCCATCCAACCTGGCCTTGGAATTTCCAGGGATGGAAATTCCTGTGCTGTGGCTGCTTCTGTGGGCAACCTGTGCCAGGGCCTCACCACCCCCACAGTAAAGATTTTCTTTCTAATATCTCACTTAACATCTTGGATAGTGCCTCCTTAATTGGACTGTAGTCCATGTAAAAAAGGAATAATCAGGCTCCAAGTATGTGTTTCCTGAATATGCAACTGTCTTGTTTTGAATTTAAATTAAATTATCATAGGAAAATAGAAAATATTGTTTTAGTTGGGATTATTTTTTCCCTTCCCTCACAGTTACAACTTTCCTTGCATAAATCATTTATGAGTTTCTAATGTGCTTATGTAACCTGATCAATGAGGATGAGGTTCAGACAGCAGATTTTACACAGCCCATCCTTGGCGTTTGTTTTTCTTTCAGACCTTATGCTTTTCGAGTCGGCTGGATTATTTCAGTGCTTTGTGCACTGCACTGTCCCTGTGTGCTGTTCCTTTTGCCACCAACA